CTGGGGAGGCATCCGCAGGAGCCAGCTCCGCGAGCTTCTTCCTCCCCACAGGCAGCTAAGTCAGGTGCTGCACCTCGCTGCTGCTAGGGGGTGCCTGCTGGGACTCACTGCGGCAGCAGCTGCACCCCACCAGGCCATGACTAGCCGCCTCAGCCACCAGCGGACCTCCCACAGAGCAACTTGCTATTGCCACTTCCTGACACCCAAGCACCTCCCCTCTGTGCACATCGCACTGCCTCCAGGAACCTGCACACCCTTCCACCGTGCAATTTGCCGCCTCAGCATGCCCACACACACTGCGCAGGCTCTGCCGGGGCAAACTGCTGGCCTCAGCAGACCGAGATAAAACACTGCCAGCAAATAGAAAGGCAACCCTTCTCATAACCCACCACCAGCAACTGGGGCTCTACAGGAAAGGAGACTCAACTCTTCACAAAATCAATCAAGGTATACACAAAAAAGTGTATATTATGACATCAAATACATGAAGTGTGGAGGAAGGAGAAGAAGAAAGGAAAAAGTACCTTTAGATTTTATTTAAAATAGAGTAATCAGCAACTTAATGTAGACTGTTATATAGTCAGGAAGCTGTCCTTGAACCTTTGATAACCATAAAACTAAAGCCTACAATAAATACACAAAAATATTTTTTTAAGAGAACTCTAATAACAACACTAAAGAAGACCATCAAATAGCAAGAGAGGAAGAAAGGAACAGAAAGAAGCTATAAAGACAACCAGAAAACAACTAATAAAATGGCAATATGTACACATCTATCAATAATCACCCTAAATGTAAATGAACTGAATGTGCCAATGAAAAGACACGGAGTGACAGAAGGATAAAAAAAAACAAGACCCATCTACATGCTGCCTACAGGCGACCCAAAGACATATACAGACTAACAGTGAAGTGACAGAAGATATTTCATGCTAACTATAGGGAGAAAAAAGCAGAAGTAGCAGTGCTTATTCAAACAAAATTGATTTCAAAGCAAAGAAGGTACATAATGATAAAGGGGTCAGTCCAACAAGAGGATATAACCATTATAAATATCTATGCACCCATCTTAGGAGCATCTAAATATGTAAAGCAGATACTAACAGAATTAAAGAGGAAAATAGATTGCAACACATTCATTTTAGTAACACACCTCTCACATCAATAGACAGATCATAAATAAATAAGGAAACAGAGGCACTGAACAATACATTGCATCAGATGGACTTAACAGATATCTACAGACCATTCCCAAAAGCATCAGAATACACATTTTTCTCAAGGGTACATGAAATATTCTCCAGAACAGATAGCATACTAGGTCACAAAAAGAGCCTCAATAAATTAAAAAGTTATAAATTGTACCAAGCAGCTTCTTAGACCACAGTGGTATGAAACTAGAAATAAATTACACAAAGTAAACAAAAAATCCTACAAATACATAGAGGCTAAACAACATGCTTCTAAATAATCAATGGATCATTAACTAAGTTAAACAGAAATAAAGCAAGACATGGAGACAAATGAAGACAAAAATACAACAGTCCAGTACTTGTGGGACATCACAAAGGCTGTTCTAAGAGGGAAGTCGTAGCAATACAGGCCTACCTCAAGAAACAAGAACAATTCTGAATAAACTGTCTAAATTTACAATTAAAGAAACTAGAAAAAGAAGAACAAATGGAACCTATTAAGTTGCTGATTGTTCTATTGCAAACAAAGTCTAAAAGTACTATTCTTCTTCCTCCACACTTTGTGTATAAGATTGTCATAATCTGCACTTTTTGTGTATCCCTTGACTGATTTTGTGTACAGTTAGTTCTGCTACTGTTTTGGTTTAATTTCTAGCTTGCTTGGTAATTAATTGGTCTACTACCTTTGTGGGGGTTTGTTTTCAGTGGTGAACACTATTTAGGCTTAGGAACATTTCCATCTGCAGCAGTCCTTTTTACATATCCTGTAATGCTGGTTTGGTTGTTATAAATTCCTTGAGCCTTCATTTATCTGGAAATTGTTTAATCCCTGCTTCAAATCTAAATGATAATCTTGCTAGGTAGAGGATTGTTGATTGAAGGTCCTTCTGTTTCAGTACATTAAATATTTTGTGGCATTCCCTTCTGGCCTGTAATGTTTCTGCTGAGAGCCTGATGATGACCTAATGGGGTTTCCCTTGTAAGTAAGCTTTTTTCTCTCTCTGGCTGCTTTTTTGTACTCTCTCCTTACCCTTAATCTTTGTCATTTTAATTATTATATGTCTTGGTGTTGTCTTCCCAGGATTCTTTTTGTTAGGGGCTCTCTGTGCCTCCATGACCTGAGTGTCCATTTCCTTTCCCCTATTGGGGATATTTTCAACAATTATTTCCTCAAAGAGACTTTCTACCCCTAAAGGTCTCTCTCTTCTCCTTCTGGGACCCCTATTATGCAAATATTGTTTTGGTTGGAGTTGTCACACAGCTCTTAACATTTTTTCATTCCTAGAGATTCTTTTTTCTCCGTGTTCCTCAGCTTCGTGTTTCTGTTCTCTCATCTCCATCTCATTGAGTGTCTCCTGTACTTGCAGTAAGCTACTTTTGAATCCCTTCATTGTATGTTTCATTTCAGTTACTATATTCTAAGTGGCTCTTTTTCAGCTCTTTTGTCTCTTTGTTGAAGTCCTTCCTGAGATCTTAAAATATTTTTCTTTAAATCAGTGAGCATATTTTACTTTGAAATCTTTATCAGGAGGACTGGCGACCTCCGTTTCATTTAGCCCTCTTTCCTGGCCTATAGAGTAATAGCCTCGCGAAGGAGGCGTCCAATGGTGCCCACTCAGACTCTTTGCTCTCCGACTTTGTGGGAGCCCCACCTGCTGGTGCCGTGGGTGGGGCTACCTTTCTGTCTGCCTGCCCCAGTGATCCGTCTGCCCAGCAGTTTGCTTTAGCCACCACCTTTGTGATCCAAGAGGATCCAAGATCCTCTGCTGGGATCGCTTTGGGAAGGGTCCACCTCTGCAGTGAGGGCAGGGCTGCACGGTTAATGGGGTGGGCAGGCCGTTATGCAGCTCTTGGGCAGGGCAGGACACACAGTACCAGGCTTGGACACCTATGGGGAGACGCCAGACTGACCAGCATTGTGTGCCATACCACGTGGCTTGGAGTTTACCCTGAAAGGGTGAAAAGCCCAATGAAAGAGTGGAATAAGGAACAAGGACATGGTCAGATGTGCACTGGGGAAGATGGGTTGTATGTCTGTGTGGAGTGAAGGAACATGGGAATGTTCATGCCGGAGACCAGTTTGAAAGCCATTACAATAATCTAGGCAGGTTCCGTGTAATGCCCACCAAAATCCCGGCAGATGAATGACAGTGAGGACTGAAAAGAGAATTCAGATTCAAGAAATACTAGGTTGAATTGCAAGAACTTAGAGAATGTAGCAGTACTTATTTACAGGACACTTTACTACTTAATGTGATGCTGCCACTTAAAGTAATTACAAGCCACCCCTCTGTGTTTGTCATTAGCAAAAATTACCCTCAGTACCCACAATACCCAGCAGAGGGCAGCATCTACGTATTGATTTTATTACTGTTTTACAGAGGGAGACAATGAAGCATCGAGAAGGGATAGACCTTTGTGAATGCCACACATCATGTTTTAGGAAGAATTATCTGATAGTATCAGGGTTTCGAGAAGGGTAGATTGGAAGCAGGGAGAAGAGTTTGTGAACCATTTTGAGACCAGAGGTAGTGAGAGGGTGAGACAAAGCAGGGACACTGCTCCACACTGCGGACCACAAACCGGGAGGACACTCGGGTGCAGGAAGGGAAAAGCCACACACCTCTGGGTGGGCATCTTCTCTCATGTCTGCAAAATTGATTCCAAGATCATAAATAATGTGAGCCACCTTAGTGCTACTGAAATATAAATGCTTACGTATGTTTTGTGTTTCTCTATCTGACTAAAAGATCCTATCCAGGCTAGGTAACCAAGTTGTAGCTCAAGAAAATAAAATTCCCTTTTAACAGAATACATAACCCATATCGGATGAAACAAATGGCAAATCCTTTTTCTCTGGATCTCCCTTTTTCTGCTCCCACACCGCCACAATTACCTGCTTATATGACATTGAAATTGGGGACGTAAACCTTTTCCAGAAGGAGTGCTTTGGAAATAAATTTGGGATACTCAGCTTTGATCAAAAGCACAGTCAGAAACCAGATCTCAGGATGGGCTATGACTGAGGATGTAAGTGATCTTCTAACAGGTGGATTTTAAGTGGCTTGAATGGAAAGACACTTTTTTGGATTATAAACAACAAAAATGTATTTCTCACAGTTTTGGAGACTGAGAAGTCCAAGATGAAGGTGGTGCTGGCAGATATGGGGTCTAGTGAGGGCCTGCTTCCTGGTTCATAGATGGCTGTCTTTTTGCTATCAACTTACATGACAGGAGGGGTGGAAAGACTTTACTCCCAAAGTCGGGGAGAGGTCCCTCCCAGTGGCCCCTTGCGAAGGCTGAGCCTTGTTCTGGCTGTGGTTAGAGAGCTGTGTGGACCCTGCTGATTAGTGGCGTGATCTGGGGCAAGTCACCTTGCCTTTCCAACCTTTCTTTCCTTCTCTATAAAATGAGGGTAATAATGGCAGCTTTCTTATTAGAACATTGTGAAGATGAAATCCATTAGTTCATGTTAAACATTTAGTATAATCTGTCAAATAAAACAGAATTATTCATATATCTAAGAGTGTGCTATTCCCATCTATTTATGATAGCCTGTCTTGGTTCTTCTAACTTAATCCCAATCACCACATGATTACACTTAAAAATGAAGTATAAATACCATCTTCTCTAACTAATAATTCTTTCCTAATTAGGGACATTAGCTCAAGTATAGTCTTTATTTCTCTATGGGGTAAGTGAAGGGGGATTAGAAAGTGAGAATATAGAGAAAAAAATTTCTGTTATTGTACAAATCAGGCTATGCATCTGAGAATAAACTTTCTTACACACATTCTTATTTTTCAGGTATATTAAAGAAACAAACATCAAAAATGACCCAAATGAACTCAACAATCTTATCAAGAAAAATTCTGATGTGGCAACATGGACCCCACGACCTGGAGCCATTCTAGATCTGGGTAGGATGTTAAAGGACCCGACAGACAGGTTTGGCTTAAATATTTATAGAGAATAAAAATGATTTGTGAATGTTCTCGGTTTTATGAGAAAATAAAGGATCTCCATTTATAGGAATTTTATTTTGTTGACTATAAGTATCTTTCAAATCTAGAGGGAAAAGACTGAGTCTCCCTAAGTTTCTCATCCTATGTAATAATTACATACTCAAGGGTTTTCCTTATCTCAGAATCTTAGTAGAGGATAGAGGGAAAGGAAACTTTTTCTATTAAGGACCATTAACACAGCTCAAAAATAAGCTCTTATGTAAGTAAAAAGCAATAAGCATGAAAGTTAATTTCATATCAGTGCAAACATTACCCATTTGCCAATTCCTCAGATAGTACAAACAAATGATAATGCACTGGAAGTGCAAGTCAGTTGATGTCACATTTTCATAAATACTGTATTTTCATAAATACTTGACCCAAATGGAACCGTACGTTCCTTGCCCTTATTCAGGAATGGCCCAAATGTGTCGGAGAGCAGTGCACAGTCACCAAGGGCACACCCTCTTCGCCTCTCCTCTAAGCAGTCGGAATGAATGGTGCGGTCAGCCACCTTGCCTCTTGCTAACTTCCCTTATCAAACTAGTTATCAGATCTGGTCAATTCTCCCTCATAAATCTCTCGCAAATCCACCACTCATCCCCAGCGCCTTCTGCCGTAGCCTTAATTCAGCTTCGCACAATTTTTCACCCAGATTTCTGCGGTGGCCCCTGACTTATCTCTGTGCCTCTACCCCCACTCTCCTGTGATCCATCCTCTATGCCAGCCTTTTTCAGTCTACTGGTCACAATCCACTGGTGGGTGGTAAAATCAATGGCACTGATCCCAACCAGTGGTTTTTAAAAAATGAAATAAAGTAGACTCGACCAGACCAGATCAGACCTGGGTACATTTCATATAACAAGGGTAGTATTATCTCAGGAAAGTTATTTCCCAGATACCCTTGGTATGAAGACCCTGATACGATGTAAAATGTAATTTCCTGCTGGGATCATCAGCAAAAAGTTTGAAAGCCCCTGCCCTGCACGGCTGCCCAAGGAACCTTTCAAATGCAAAACCCATCCTGTTCCTTCCCTGCTTGAAATTCTTTAGGATCCCCCTACTGCATCGAGGATAAAGGGTGTTTCCATCATCCAGATCAAGAGTGAAAGAGATTTTTAATTATTTATTGGCAGAGCATTCAAGAGACTTTGTCATTAGCTTACCCCTCCCTCATCTCTTTTCAGTCCTTCATATGTATTCTACGGCAGTAACTCAGAATTTAATGAACATTAGAATATCCTGAGGAACTTGCATGAATGCAGATCCCTGGGCTCCACACCCAGAGATTCTGATTCAATAGATCTGAGGCAGAGCCCAGGAATCAGCATTTATACCATTGTGTCACATCAAAGCATTCTGAGTAACAAGAGAGTCAGTATTATTGATTTTCCATGTTAAGAGTATAAGTGACACAGAGAGTCTAAGGGTTTAAATCTGTTTTTTGAGGGGAGCCAGGGACAGGAAAGAGAGGAAATGTGGTCAAGGAAATCTCAATCTGAACTCTTTGGCATTTCAACTAGGTTTTAGAGGTAAAGAGGAGGTTGCGAGTAACTGGGAACAGGAGAGTGGAGGGGGGTGCAGAGAGGTGGAGACGGCATTTGCTGGAGAAGGGAAGTGTAAATGGTACCATTAGTTCGGTGAATATAGATGCTTTGAATAAGTGAATATATGCCATCCATTCAGAAGTGGTTTATTTAGCTCCTTCTGTATACTGGCGCCATGCTAGGTACAGAGATACAGCTGTGAAAAGGCCCTTTCCTCATGAAGGCATCTACCTGAGTGCAGGGGTGCTAAGTGAAGGGGGAGGTAAAGGATGAGTCAGGAAGGCCTGCTGGGACCTACGAGTAAGGGGAGCTCGAGAAAGTCACACAGCAAAGCAGGAACACCTCTGCACTCTGTTTTAGGAAACGTTTCCATAGTTTAGTTATTTAAGCCAAGAGGGCCCAAAATCAATGGTTTTCCAACTTTTTTTCCAGACACAGACTTTAATCTTCAAATGTATTCTGACTGGGAAACCCCTTGTGTCCCCTGAAGTGCTCCTGAGGGGTCCACTGGGAATCCCCTGAGCAGTCTTCTGTCTGGTTGACTATTGATATTTATGTGCTGACTTTGACCTTCCTTATTTGCGTTCACCTCCATTGTTCTCTCACCTTTGTGTCTTTAAGTAAGGGTATCATAGAGCCTCCAGAGGGGACAAAAATTTACAAGGATTCCTGGGACTTTGGACCATATTTGAAAATCTTGAATGCTGCTGTAGGAGATGAAATATTTCTTCACTCATCTTGGATACAAAAATACTTCACTTGGGCTGGATTTAAGGACTATAACCTGGTGGTCAGGGTATGCTACTAAGTATTATTTGTTTTTGTTTTCTTGCATTATGGATATGTATGAAAACCCCTGTATTCCGATTTGCTTCTCAACAAACATTCATTAAGCCCTACCAATTGCCTAATAGAGAGCAGATTTGACAATGTGATCAACAATCTCTTGTTGAAAATTTAGGGAATGTTCTCAAGTCCAGTTTAGTTTCTCTTTTGGAGCGTTCTTTTCCCTCCTGTCGCCATGTGTCTGTTGTTGTCTGTTTTTGTGGGTGTTTGTTTTGTTTATTTTTGGCATGGCGGAAACAGCTGTTGAAACTGTGGGGCAGGGAGGTGGGACTCACGCGGGCACAGGGTGACACGGAAGCAGAGGGCTCTTCCTTGCAGCTGTGGTAAGGACTGAATTCCACAAACCATGAGGCCAGCCTAGAGCTAGAGCTTCAATGAGCCTCAACACCTAGAAACAGAGCTCATAAGCCAAGAGGTTCAGGTTAAAATCCAGTCACCAAAGCTAAGGTTGTATCTCAATGCAAATTAAGTCCTAACAGGGAGGAGGTGCAGAAGAAAGAGGAAGCCTGAAATGGCCTGAGGTCACCCGCAAAGTCAGTGAGTGACCAGCCGCTTATCTATATACATCTTTTAAAATCCGGCTTTAATTTATTTATAATTAAGGCATCACTGATATACAATCTTACGAAGGTTTCATATGCGCAACACTGGTTTCAGCATCCACCCGTGTCATCAAACCCCACCCCCACCCGCTGCAGTCACTGTCCGTCAGCAGAGTGAGATGCTGTAGAGTCACCGCTTCTCTGTGCTGCACTGTATCTGGCTTATATTTAGTGCCTGAGATCGTGTAAAGGGAGCAAAGTTTAGGGAAGGCATCAGGAAACACTCACACCTTTAAAGACAAGGATCGAGCGCCCTCAGAGTGAGGACTATCCCCAAATTTACCTGTTAACTCCTGAACTATTAGGCAACACTTGCCATTCTCCAAAGCAGTGATTCCTAAAAACCCTCCTGGGGGTCATTGCCGGACTGTGAGACTTTTGCTGGTCAACAGTGAAGTAAGAAAGAGTGGTTACAAAGTTGTCAGCTTTCCTTTCTTGGAATGAATTGGCATCATTCCAAAATTAGGCCCTTACTATTTTTCAGATGTAAGCATTCTTCCATTAGTGAAATAAAAGAATAACAGATGTAAGGTTTTTTTAAAAATTATTATTATTTTTTTATTTTGGTATCATTAATCTACAATTACATGAAGAACATTATGTTTAGTAGGCTCCCCCCTTAAGTCCTCACTTGGCAAAATAAAATACTGGGGACTATATTAGCTCCCAAATATTTTTTAGGAAATTGTCTTTGAAATCCAAAGACCTGGGAAATATTGGTCTAAATTATGTTTTCAGTTGGACAATTAGTATGAAAAAGAGAAAACATTTGAAATTTTCAAAGAAACTATTTGTTTAGCTGTTATATGATGATGAGAAACATTCTACTTTTATTTATTTCTTAGGCTGCAAACGTAATGGTATTTGATATCTCACTAATAGTGCTTAAGGTAATGATAATCTTCTCTGCAAATTTGATTGAAGTTAGTAATATGAAGCAGTTTTGTTAGTGTAGAAGACTAGGATTTGAATGTTATTAGTTTAGGGGAGAGAGAGATTAAGGGAGGAGTGGGGGAGAAAGAGAAGAAAGGAGAGGCCCTTTTCAGATTAACTCCAGCTCATTGCTATCAACTGCGGACATTTGGGTCTAACACATTCTAGAATTATTTAAAGAACTTGATACCAGATCCATGTGCTCCTTCCCTTTACCATGTCATTTGCACAGATGATTGAGACAGATGAGGACTTCCACCATTTTCCTGGAGGATATGACTATTTGGTTGACTTTCTAGATTTATCCTTTCCAAAAGAAAGACCACGCCGGGAGCATCCCTATGAGGAAGTAAGCGCGGCACTGGTGAAAGTGCTCCCCCCTCCCTTCCTCTCTTTCCCTCTCCCTCCCTCCCTCCTTCCTTCCTTTTAAACAACTTTTCATTTTAGAATGACTTCAGATATACAGAAAAGTTGCAAAGATAGCACAGAGAGCATTGTTAACATTTTACTCTACATGTATCATAACTAATGAGCCAACATCGAAACATAATCATTATGTTTCAATAAGCATAAACATTTTTGAGTCATTTACAGACCGGCTTCTCTACTACTTCCTTCCAAACAGCTGACCTGCCTGAGTTGTTACTGGACCTCAGACCCTGACCTCTGCCCTCCTTTCGCTTTTCTCCAATGGTGTCTCCTTCACCACGTGACCTGATGAGTGTCTCTGTAAAAGGGACTGATGTCAACATAAATCTACAAGTACTTTGTTGAGCTCTGATTTTGAGCAAACCCCTCACCTGCGGCAGCGTGATGTAAAGGAAAAAGCTTTGGAGATAGTTTGGGATTAGGACCGGTGCACAACCGAGCCTTGGGTTTTCCTTCATAGGACATATTCCCACCTTACGAGTTTTTTTGTGATAGTCAAGTGACAACTTAAGTGAGCATGCATTGTAATTTAAAATTCTGTATAAATGTAAGAATCACTATAAATGAAGGATATATGGTCTGCCCTTAAGCTTATTATATGTGCACTATAAATGTAAAATACCTTCATTGTGAGGCTCAAGTGTATCTTTATATAATAGATGTGTCTTAAACCACATTTTAATAATTTGACTTGTATTTTCATGTTTAGTAAATGACTTGGTATCGAAGAGAATCCTATGCTGAAACTTCTATAAAACCAATAATCCATTGCCTACTTTATGGGTTTAAAAAAAACTGGGTTTCATATATAGAAAAAACCCTATGTGAAGCACCCATTTTAAGCAAAATCTTAGAGGGAGTCTGTTAAATGTCTTTTATTTAACAAATATGTAGCCAACTCTGTGCCAAGCACAGCTTTAAGCACTTTTTAGATATTAAGTAAACTAATTTGGCAACAACCTTATGAACAGATACTCTGTATTCTCCATTTATAAATGAGGGAAATGCCATATCAAGGGGCTAAAAATTTTGCCCAAGATCACCTAGCTAGCAAACAGGGCGCGGGGCCCTGACAGCAGGCAGTCCAGCCTCTGGGTCTTTCCATTCAGCCGCTCTGTTGCTTTGCCAATCTGCATTTACAAAACCTATAAATTAAGGTATCTCTTAGCCTTAAAGGAGATCCATCTTTGAAAATTTTAAAATAACAAGATCACTTAAAAATATTTAATCGAAAAAAGTCCCTTTTCTTAATGCATCTGCTGAATGAAGCAAGTAGCAGCTCCGCTGCAGATGTGAAAACCCCGACAGGGTGAACCGTTGCGCCTGCCGTGCACATGGCGGTCTGCAATGCGGCTCAGTGGTTTGATCTCCAGGAGCTTGGTGAGGTTTCTATATGCTGAGGTTTGCTTGGAGATGGTGCCTATGGAAGAGTTCCTCCTCTTGTTTCCTGTAGCCTTCTAATGTTGCCTTTTCTTTTCTTTTCCTTTTTTTTGCAGTAATTGTTTTTCAGCCTCATAAGTACGCTTTCTACCACCAACTCTCCATCCCTCCTGGATGCACAGCTCTGGTAGCTCTCTATCCTCCTGCTCAGTCGGGAAGGGCTCCTCTCGGTCTGCTGCAAATCTGTCACCAGTGACACCTCTTAACTGCTTCCAGACACCACCCACATCTTTGCCATCTTTGCTTCACTCCTTTGGGGGGCTCTCCGCTTAAGTGACTGTCACAGAAAGGGTGCATGGGAATGAAACGCTGAAGTACTTTGCTGCTTCATGCTCATGACAGTCTAGCTGAGCACGTAATGCTGGTTGGCAACCCATTTCCCATGGACACCTGAAGGCATTGCCCTGTGGCTTCTAGTCGGTGCGCACGTTGCTTACCCCAGGCTGACCTTTCTTTCTTTCTGAGTGATGTTTAAGAATGAAGTTCATCTATATTTACCATACAAAGACTTTTCAAGCTAATTTAGTGCATGTAATTTCTGTATATGTATAGGATTTGTTGTCCAGCAGGCTTTATTTGAAGGCAGGGGTTAAATGCTCGCAGACTGACCGAAGGCAGATCTTGTAAATAGGCAAAGCTGGGTGGGGACTGTCACGTGGCACACAAAGGCCAGGTTGGAAGGGGGCACCCCCTGCTGGGCTCCAGGTGATCTGAATTTTCTGGAGAACTTAGAAATCTGGATTTTTATGTGAAATACCCATGTTTATAAATGTGGAAAGCTAATTCAAATTTTTGAAAGGAAGTGTAGGCTATATGAAACAAGAGCTCGGCTGCTTTTGGTCAGGAGGACACCAGTTTAAGTCATGAAAGTGAGGAGCCAGCTGTTAGGCTGGGGGACTCCTAGTACCAACATGTGGAGGTCCTCACCTTGGGACATCACAAATACACTGCCTGCCCTTGTTCTCCTCACATCAAGTGCATTTATTCAGAGAACTGTCTGGATGTGTGGTGGGAACAACACGCAGATGGAGGCAAGGGGTGAATTATTTCATGTACGCAGTGCCGTGTGCCCCTGCTGGCATCCTTGGTACCTACCTCTATGCCCTCCACATCTGAACGCCCATGCTTATGTTTTCTGGGATTCGGCAGCCTGTGCCCTGTTGTGTTCTTTGGTGGTGACTCATTGACCTGCTTTCCAGATTCAAGTTAATTATCTGAAATCAACTGCCTGTCAACCACCCACTTTGTTTCCCCCTCACTTCGGCAGTTTATACCTATGTAATCCCTTTGTGAACATTTTAGTTGGGTCTGGAAGTGTACAGATGACGGGGTACACATCACTCCGAATAGAAGTCCTTTCTCAGATTCTACCCCTTGTTTTCTCTTCTTCCTATTCTTCTGCATTCTTTCCAAGTCTCTCTCCAGCCATCGCTTAAATCTTTCGTCTTCCTCCGGAGTTCTGTATTCGACCACCAGTCTTCCCACGTCTTTCCTGGGTGAACTTATTTGCTAGCATCACTTCTCTGCTAATGACGCCAAAACTCCTTATATCCTGCCCAGATTTTGCCCTGTTCCCTCCAAACTTAAATTTTTTTATAGCCAACTTTCCTGCAAGATATTATCACCCAGACTTCCAAAATCTGTAGCACCTCTTTTTAAACCTGTTCAAAATTCAACTCATCTTCCTTCTCAAAACCCTTCCTCCTTTCCTACCTTGATTGTCGGCATCATTCGCCCGCCAGTGAGCCATACTAGAAATAGGGGAGTAATCTTCAAGTCTTCCCTTTTCCCTGATTTCCAAGTCTAATCAATCACCAAGACCTTCCTATTTTACCCCCTGGAAATTCTCAGACCCATCCCCAGTGCTCCCAGGTGCTCCTCTCGGGATAACAAAGGTCAAGAAAGCCCATCTTGCCTCCACTGTGAGGACCTAGACGTTGATTCTGCATCTTAGCTGGTCAGTCCTCACCCTGGACAAACTGTGTGATCATGTTTCTAAGGACAGATCCTCTGACCAGGGTTTTTTTTAATTTCAGTTCACAATGAATAGAATCATTTTGTAGGAATGGTGCAAGAAAGAGAAATAAATCCAAAATGCCAATCTGCCGATCCTTCTTTGTCATTAGTAGCCTCCCATAGGACAGCTGGCCTCTGCTGCCATTCACACAGTCTTGATCAGGAAAAAAAAATATGATGCCAGATACTGAAATAATTCCTGGTAAACTTTTACACTGCTACTAAGGAGCTGTTAAAACCTTGTCCAATCTTACTATCTTACAAGAGCTACCTCACGCTCTTTTTTTTTATAAATTATCTCATCTTTTTTTCTCACAACAGCCCTGTGATAAACAAAACCAAGGCCGAGCAAAGTTAAGGTCCCATGATTAGTAAGTGCTGCGCTGAGACTCAAAACCAGCTCTGCTTGTCTTCTATTCTGTGCTCCTTTGACTCTTCAACAGCTTCCTTGTCAGCAGTTGGAATTCTTTAAAAGTAAGGGCCTTGGCCACCTAATCACGGTGATACCGCTCCGTGGCAGTCCAGAAACGCAGATCGCTGTGAACTCGCAGGCTCTGCTCCGCTTCTGAATGTTCAGGTAGGAGACCAGAACACTGAGCTTTCAGAACAACGGTGTGGCACCGTTGAGGGAAAGCTTACTATGTGCCAGCCCTTGTTTTAAGTGTTTTACACACATAGACTCAGTTAATCCTTTGAGAAATAGGAGGAAAATGCGGTGCAGAACGGTTGCCGAATTCACGCAGCTGGGCCCCGGCTTTGAACCCGGCAGTCGGCCCTGCCTGTCTGTGCGCTCAGCCGCCACGCCCCTGCCAGCTCCTGGTCATTTCCCTCTTTCATTCCCTCAATTTCTGCTTCACTCAGGGTGACTTCTTTCCACTCTCTCCTGGACTCCCCAGGCTCCTGCCATCACCGGCAGCTCTTCTCCCAGGGACGCCAGTGGTCAGTATCCTGGGCTGCCTGGCTTGCCCCTGCTAGTTTTCCATATCTGTTTCAGATTCGGAGCCGGGTTGACGTCATCAGGCACGTGGTGAAGAATGGTCTCCTCTGGGATGACTTGTATATAGGATTCCAAACCCGGCTTCAGCGGGATCCTGACGTATACCATCATCTGTAAGTCTGAAAATGCCTGTTGTGGCCACTGCAGAAGATGTTCAGGATATATAAGTTCCGTCAATGACTGACTTTGCCCCAAATTCTGTTGGATATATGACATTCCACCATTAGAGCTTTAGTCCTTTGGTAACCTTTTTGTTAAAAAGTGAATCTGGCTAAAAAAGGAACATTTTAAACAGTCATTATGTATACATTCATATAAATGTTTTGATCCCTCCTGGAAGTGGGTTTTGATATAGAAAAGGAAAGGATATTATACGAGGGACAGGGTATGTTTCCCAAGGCAAAAATGGGGAGGAGGTTTTCATGGGCAAAGATGTGGTCATTGAAGACAATTGTTTCCCTTGTCACATTTTTGCTTCTGCCCAACTCCAGTGTGAATTTGGTGGACTAGTTGGTTAATGGTAATGGCCCTGAACTTATGCCTGCCTACACTTCAAAACCATGTAAGCCTCTCATTGCAAAACTCTGTATAATCTTTAAGACTATATTTGGAATTTTTGAGTTGAAATGTTAGAAAAGCCCATTTGTCATTTTTATATTTGCAAAATAATCACCAAGACAGAGTATACTTTCATATCAGTTATCACCAATCCACTGAAAAATGCAGGAATTTAATTTTAAATATGCAAAAATTACTATCTTGCTTCTGCCTTGATCTTGTGAGGCAGGGACCATGGGTGTAGTCAGAGTAGGGTGAGGGCCTCCAGAAAAAAGCAAGGCAGGATATTTACAGTCAGAGCAATGTAACTACATGCAAGGAAACCCCTTGCCAAAGCTCTGTGTTAAACATTAAGCTTCAGAGTCATTCTTCAGTGAGATCAGTTAATATTTCCCAGATAAAGAAGAGTAGCACATGGTTTTATTATGCTATCATTTGTAATCATGTGTCAGATTCCCTTTAACAGGCTAAAAGGCCCAGGCCTGTGCGCTGTCTCTCCTCCTTCAGATCTGATGAGGTGATTTGCAAACTGGGCAGCTAATTTAGCACGCAGCCCCAGCTGTAGATGGCATGGTTAAAGGCAGGAAGGATTCCACCTTAAAGATAAGATTGCATTTTAACATTCAGGAAGTTTAGAAGCAAAATTCTTAACTTACTCTTTAGCAAACAGACAATAACTCAGCCCACCTTGGGGGCTGGACAGGTGGCCTTGTTTGATATGCTCCCAGACCCAGATGCTGGTATCCCAGGGAGAAATCAGAGTAGTAAATTTCTTGTGTTAAGTTAGTTTTTAATATTCAGGGACCACTTAACAAGTCCACACCCTAAGCCTTTTGTCCAGTTCCCCAAAATCCTCAACTGCCTATAAAACCCCTAGACAACACACCACCAGCAGGGGCTCTCTTGTCCCCTCCTGGTGTGAGCCAGGAGCTCTGTCCTCTCACTGTATCTCTCAAAAAAAAAACACCTTTCCCCGGCTCTCCTACCTTGGGTGTTTGCTAAGTGCATTCTTCGACTCTGCAAACAAGAACCCTGGCATCACTTGCAAGCACAGGCATATCTTAATATTTCTTTTTTTACTTATTTCCTTTTGAATGTTTTTAAATTATTAAAACTATTTTCAAAATGTAGAAATATATAAAATAAAGAAGTAAATAGCTCTACCCCACACCTCCCCCAGAACAGCCTGTGTCCTGCTTCCCCTTTCACCCACTCTGCAGGGCACTGCTTGGTAACAGCTCAGTGAATGTCATCACAGGCCTGTTTCTGGGCGTATCAGCATTTCTCTAAATATATTTGTTTTCAGTAAAACATTCCATATAGTTGGGGGTGGGGGTTTACTGTTGCTGGTGTTTTTAATGTAATCCTAATACATATGTTCTGTAACCTGCGTTTTTTGCATATCAGTGTATCCTCGGTATTAACCTCAAACATTTTAACAGCTGTAAACCATTCCAGGTTGTGTTCAGTTTCAACAGACCATGTACCTGACTTCTTGCTCTGGAAAAAAAGAAATATAGCAACATTTGGGGAGATTCAAGAGGTCACTTTTCTTAAGAAAATAATTCCATCTTGGAAACTTCTAGGATATTGATACTAAGGATATTTTGTTATATTGCTTTGATTAAAAAGATCATAGATACAAGACAACCTCATAATGAATCTGGGAAGGAGTCACAGACCAATTTATCTTTGTTGCTTTTAAATGAAATTTATTAGATTATTAAATATTTTTCTAGTTATAAAAATAAATATCTACTCTAGAAATTTTGAAAAAAATATTTAAAAATACAAAAAAAAGAGTAAAAACCACAAAAAATGCTCACTACCCAGGAGAGCAGTTTATATTTTGGTATCTAATTTCTTTTTCTGCTTACAAGCACATACACATGTACTTTTTATAAAAATAATACTTCATGTACTTTTGTGCTTGCATGTCTACTAAACGATCTTCTATCTATGTCTAAATTGCTCCTAACTTTTCACAATTTGAAACAGTGATTTGGCAAATAAACAAGCCTTGCACACTTTCACAGTGATTTCCTTGGGATAAATTCCTAGGAGTGGAGCTGTTGGATCCAACATGGTATATGTTTTTTGTTGTACTCTTACCAAATCGTCCTTCAGGAAGCCAGATCTTCTCAGAAATAATGTACAGAGGGTCCTCATTTACCTGCGCCCTCTCCAATACCAGGTCCTAATGCATTTGTGTACAGAATATAGATCTCTATTTCCACATGAGAATTTCTTAAAGTGAGGTACATCACAGTAAAATAAAAATAAGACATAGTTGTCATGTTTTAAGGGGCTAAATTCAGCACTCAAAAATGCCAAGCTATGTGAACAGCTGAAACAGTACAGAAACGCTGCCCCTTAGGGAGGTTTGAGTACCAGGCACTAAGCAGATCTTGGCAAAAGAGCAGACATGGGAGTTTCCAAAATATATTCCTCTGCTTTATCTCTTTTACAGGTTTTGGAACCATTTTCAAATAAAGCTCCCCCTAAAGCCCCCCAACTGGAAGTCCTTCCTGACGCACTGTGGATAGAGTGGACCTGGGATTTCTCAGGTAAGCATCCTCTAGATCTGGGAGTCACGTATCTTAAACCCCATCACACCCCCTTTGCCACCTAAATTAAGCAGGCTCTGTGCCTTTCAGAAAACCTCACTGGGGCAATAAGAGCCAACATTGTAAGAACATTCAATTTTAAAAATAAGTAAGTAAACTGAGTAGTAAGTACATCCAGACCAAAGCCCATGGAATGTTGAGGTGAACATAGAGTTAATTAGCAAACAAGACAAAAACCATCCCAGATAGTCAGTAAATGTTTAGAGCTAAATACATGAGGAAAAGCAACAGCAAAAACTGAAGGGAGAAAAACTAAAAACTGTAAGATGGGAAACATCACTTCTCAGTTTCCAGTAGACCTCCCTCTTTTTCAGGCTAATGAAGAATAGCGTGTCTGCTACAAATCCAATGACATTTCTTTTTGCTGCTTGGGATGTGATTTTACTAAGTGAATTGCAAAACCTATTTCCACATATTTGTTATTGTAAAGATCGTATAATATTACTACAAAGATATAATTACTAAAATTCCTTGACTTGTGCATTTCTTTATATATTCATTTATTTCTTCCACAAACAGCTCTCCCGTCATGTGATATTGTAACAATCTGTTGTCTCTTCCAGTCAGTAGACTCTGAATTTCTTTAAAGTAGACACTCTTGCCTGTGTATCGCTAGTGCTTAGCACAATGCCCAGTGCACACATTCTTTCATTCATAATACGCATGCGACAAAGGAAGGAACAAGTGCATTTTTTCTTCCACTGTCAGTGTGACTCGCCTCTTTGACTAGGCTTCCGCGTCCTTACTAATAAAAAGAAGGATTGGAATAGAACATTCTTTTAAGTTGCGAAGTTCTTTGTTCCATACTGTAGTCTACCAAAAGGCATTGAACTAGGTCTTCTAAGCTCTGGTTACAGGCTGGAAGGGATGCTAAGGGAATCCATATGTAAGTAGATTATCAGGCCGGCTTAAGAAGCACGGTGTTTGTCGTACAGACTACGTGTAGCATGAGGAGACAAACCGAGGAGACAGAGGGTACACCTGACTTTCCGAGATGTCCAGTCAGAGCATTATGGAAAAGGTCATATTCTGAAGGGCAGGGGTAGGGGAGGAGATGTTAGGAGAGTGGCTTGAAGATTGTGTGAAGTTTTTAATAAGCTTAAGGGATGGTGAAAGGAATATTCCAGACAGAAGGAGGAGGTGAAGTTAAAGGATAGAAAACTGAAGCGTGAATTAGAGCATTGGAAGTGCTTCTGGTATGACAGAGAAGTAAGGGGAAGCAGGAAAGAGGCACGAGTGGCCCTGGGAGAAAAAGGTCAGGTGTAACCTCTGTTACATGTAGAGATGATCAGGGCAGGTTCAGTAGCTGTAAAAAAGCAGGAGGTATGAAGGGTAAGGATAGCAAATCGAAAAAGCACTGAGTCTAAGGTCTTGGAGAAGGAATACCTCTGAAAGAAGATGGGTCAAAGGTCTTCGGTATCAGCAGGTGAATGAAACGGAGCAGAGATGAAGGCAGTGAGAGTTGGGAGGTCAGTGTCTACATTTTGAAATTGTGGCCTCAAGGAGGCCATGAAGAATGGTTGTCAGCACCTCAAACTGGGAATCTGACTTCTTGAGTTATAAGTCTTGGCTCTGTCACCTACCCTATAACTTTCAGCGAATTAATGAACCTTTCTGTGTCTCAGATTTTTATCTGTAAAGTTAATATAATAATAGCACCTACTTCACAGAATTGTGTCATATGTGGAAGGCACTTCTAGAAGAGTGAGTGGCACATGGTAAGTGAACAATAAATGTTGGATCTATCAATCTTATGAAATGAACAGGAGAATCATGTGACCTACAGTCATTTGGTGAATCTGTAAAAAGTTGGGAGGAGAGTCATATTTCAGATCACATTCCAGATTTCGATTCTTGCTTATCTTAAAGCATCATACACTGTATAAGTTGAACTAAAGAATAAGAATAAAAACTACCCCCAATGCAATAAAAAATGAAAAAGTATTAAAATGAGATTTGTACTGTTGTTAAACAGTATCTTTAATTCACAGGGATGCCCAGCAACATGAAACATTTAAGAATTTACTGACGCTACATCCTGAGCATGAGAAGCTTACACCAGAGACTATGCCTTATTTACATCAGCAATGGATAATTACATGCTGCATTTGTGATTTGTTTACATATCTTGTTTGTGGATTACTACATAGCCAGATTATTAGTATTTAACTTATTCCATCTGCAATTCTCTCTGAAAGAACCAATGAACCCAATAGGAACAAATTCTCTATGGAGAACGAAGCTTACCAGGAGGAGATGTGAATCTAAGCACAGAAGCAGCAGAACACGAGAAAAAAAATCCTAGAAGACATGAGAACAAAGGAAAGGTGGGGGGGAGTGGGGGCAGGAGTTTGGTTAGAAAATGAAAATGATAAAGAGAAGGAGACAAATGAGAGAGCATAAGGAGAAAATAGGAAGGAGAAAAAATAAGATAGAATTTAAAAAGGCAAATGTAAAAACAGACATTTTGTTCAGTGATTGGTTCCCCAAATAGGGTCCATGAAAATGGTCAAGTAAGAGTTCATAAACTGTATTCAATTTTTCAAAATGTTTTGTGTAAATCAT